GTGGTTGCCTTCCTACCTGCTGATGGGCGAAAGGCTTGTGCGGCTTGTGGTGGAGGCGTGGGACGCCCGGCGTGCTGTCGAGTTTGGGCTATTTGCACTGCCCGTGCGTTCGAGTGTCGAGCTTGTTGGGATGGTTCAGTCCACCTACTTGTTTTTTTCTGGACACTGGTGTAGGGATCCGGCATGGTGAGTGATGGCTCCTCGGAGTGGCGCGTCAGGTCGCTCGGCCACATGTCGGCGGCATCCCCGTTCATCTCCCGGTTGGTCGTTCGGGGGAGTTGGTGGGCGGCGTATGTCCCCTCGTGTCGGGTCATCTTTACTCCCTGCAGGGTCGCCGTCATCTGAAGTAATATCGCCGCTAGGGTGTGTCGTGCAGTTTCCTTTCTCTCCCCTGTCTCGCCGCCGCTCCGTTAGTCTCGTTTGTTTTCCATTTTATCCTGTCGACTCACTGTAACGTTGGTACGATTTACACTGTAGAATCCTATCGACTCACTGTAATAATTGAAGTTATCACTGTAACGTTTGGACGATTACCTTTTGAGATGGGTTGAGTTGATTGGTAATTGTGATGGGCGCAGTCGTATTTGCTGAAGTGATAAGGTATTCACAAGGGAAAATAACGAGGACACAGAGTTGAATTGAAATAGGCCAGCGATCAAGGGAGAAAGGGGTTGAAGCTAGTTTGCGGATTTGACTAATCTATGGCTGTTCACATTATTGAGGATTGGACTTATCTGATGGTTGAGAAGATGGGGGTTGGCTCCAAACTGGTCTTAACGGCGGCGAGTTCCTGACTAGTCTCAATGGTGCCACGTTCCTGACTAACTAAACTGAGTTCGCAATTTAACACGAAAACTTCTCAGGGTTCTGATTGGTTGGTGGTCGAGTCGTGTAAGCTTTCCATTGGTTCCTAGCTAATCCTCCTGGACTTTGATTGGCTCTTTGCTAATCCTTTGTTCTTGACTTGTTCTGACATGATCCCGGAAGGACTAGGTTCTTGAACCCAGTTTTATGAGTTCCTGGATAATAAAACCTGCTAATGACTGCTTCCTCTTTGATGGCCTTTCTCTCTAAACCTTTCTCCCAGATTTCTAAGCCTTGTTTTTATTAAAATCTTTTAAAACATACATTGCATACATATTGTGGTGGGATTACATCCAGTTATGTACAAATTATGAAATATATATACCTATGTTGACTTATATGTATAGAGACATAAGGTATATATTGTCACGTATATGAGTCTGAAGAATACCTACAACCTTCGCCAATAGATGGCGCTCTCGCCTATTTCCGTTCTGGAAATAATGTGGGAATCGCCGACTGCTGTGGTGCTGTTTTCTGGGGCTAATGAATGTAAATATCCTTTAATATTGGCTCTGGTATGTAAAATAGTGTAAATACCCATTAAATTATATTCGAGTTATTATATAATGTATTGTGATGCATCAGCGCGCTATCTGTTATCAAAATTCGAAACTATTATAGACGCGTATGATTATTTTTTAAAATAAACAATTTCTACTGTCCTTACTGCAATGGAAAAATTAACGGGAGGGCCTGGCTCATCAGTGGTGAATCCTCCCAGCGGTTTCGCCAGTTTAATCTACCATACCTATAAAAGGAAGATCGAAAAATGCAATATAATAGCAGTACAGTAGATTAATACGCGTCTATAATAGTTTCGAATTATGTAATGTAGTTTAAAGACGACAATAAAAGGGGAGAAGTGTTAGAAGTCTTGTTGCCGGTTGTTGTTATGACTCTCTCGCCAACGCCACAGTCACTACTCTTCTGGTAAGTCTCTCGTGTCCCCCCACCAGTGGTAAGGCCGAGAGATACTGCCAGAGAAAAGGAGATCCACTCGAGTGGTGGTTCTCAGAAGGTCTTTGGGTGGTCTGCAGGGAAGGGCTGTAGAGAAGAGCAACGAAGCCTAGGTAGGTGAACCACGAAGGAGGAAGCGGCGTCGACGCGAAGAACCGGAGGGGTCACGCGCGACAATATGAATCTATATAAACATTTTCACACACTATGATATAATAATATGTAATAAACCCAGGTTCCTGGAGCGTTCAAAATATATCTCTAATTACCCGGGATGTCAGTCAGAGAGACTTAAGTCTTTTTTTTTGTTTTATTCAAAATGGTGGCCAAAGTCCAAGATATTAAACAGAGTTATCCCTAGGAAAATGTTTCATCGAAAACAGGGTGAGGTTGGAAATTCCTATGAGAGTGGTCATCGTTGGTATTGGAATGTTGAGAAGATAAAGAGGAGATGATTCAATGTTTGGTCTTCATTCTAGCACTGGAGGAAATCAGATTCTCTTTTTAAAATTCGCGTAGTATGCGTGTGCGTAGCCATGGCCAATTAGTTCCATTGTTGAAGTGCTCTCATATTAGATTATTGGTAGAATGGAGATCTAAATATTCGGAATTGCTATACATCTTGTTAGAATACTGGTTGAGTAATCCATAATTCATAGATTCTGTATGAACCGAGTTCTTTTATTGCCGCTCACCTTTGACACAGGGGGAGTGTACATTGAAGGTACAATGTAAGTTTCAGATTATTTCTGCATGAAGTTGGGTTTTTGAGGACCGAGGACTGCATGTGGCGGAAAGAGCCAATTAGAAGGTTGACAACAATGTGGCATGTGGGAAAATCTGGAAAGATTCAATCGACCATTTTGATTATGAGTTTTTTCTGCTTGGAAGGTTGAACAGTGTTCAGGTTGATAAGTGCACAACATTTCAGACTTCTACGTTTTCTGGAAGTATATTAAAAATTGATTATAAGATTTGTGGACAGGGGGGAAGCAAGTTAAATAAAAGCTTTTTAAAAAAGCTGTTATCACTGGGGCTTAGGCCTTAAATAACCGCAATTCTGCTCGCAGATTGTCGAGGGATAATTGGTGCATTTATAATTTGAATTCTGATTAATCAATTAATTAATTAGTTAAATGTAACAAAAATGAATTGAGAAAGGGGATCTATTTACAAATGTGTCGTAAAATATATGTGGTATAATATTTTCATATATATTTATATTGTGACGGTGTTTTGACCCACCGCCAATTTTGAACAGCCCTTTCAACCGCCACCACCTCAGCCGGCTGTGTACGCTAAGTCGGCGCATGCGCGGCGGCGGTGACGTGTAAGCACGGGGGAGGATACCATTGTTTTGACGCCTCCACGAGGGAACGGCCATTTTTCATCCATCCATTTTCATCAAACCTTTTTAAACTCTTCTTTACTAGATTTTAATTTGTAACGATAATAATTAACAATGATATTTATTTTTATATTATATCTGTAATAATTAAAATACCTTGGAATGAATAATTGAATCATTTCTTCAAAACCAGACGAACCACCACAATATAAGTGTATACAAAAATGTAATGCCTCGATAAAGGTTGGCATTCAGCCAACCGAAATATTGTTAAATAAATATTTTATTCAATCCAATATATGCTTTTTTACTCTATAATTTATATAATGAATATATAAATATATGCGTGATGATATTGAAATCATATTAATGAATTAAAACAGATAAATTAATATATTTATTGACTTTTTTAGCGGTTTTTGATTATAATTCTTAGAAGGCGCTTTAGATAGGAACCTGAATATTCGTTTTTCTAACTCGTGTGAGGTCTTGAACAATCTCTGAAAAAAAATCAATTCGCAGCTTTCAACACTTTACGAGTTGACATCGTGCAATACATAAGGATTAAAAAGGAATATAGAATTGGTTCATTCCCAGCCACTCCGACCACCCAGAAGTCTGAAAATTTGTACACTCTCACTGATAATTGGACTGAACGAGTGTTCAATATCTTGTAATTTTATGTGGTCTGGAAGCATATCAAAATTAAATTACAAATAGCAATTTGGAAATTTGTTTGTTCCCGGCCACCCTGACAATTCACAATTCAGATAATTTGTCAACTTACATTGTCATCAAGTTCTAAAAAATTTAGACTATTTTAGATTTCTACGTGCCTCTGGAAGTATATTAAAAATTAAATACAAGATTTGCCGACAGACAGATATTTTAAATATATACTTGAGAGAATATATAATTCCTATACAATCTACAAATTAGAAAAATATAAAATAGATTTTTATACTTTCAATTACACAGGAGTGCGAATTTTTTTTATTTTTTTTTTGAAAAATTCAAGAGAAATTTTACCTGATTTTTCCCATCACGTCAGGATTTTGAAAATCGATCTATATAAATATCAATCTGTTGTATATGTGTGTTTGTTCCTTATTCACTCCTACAATATGTGACCAATCTGAATGAAATTTTACAGGTTATAGAACTATATATGGAAGGAGCACGCCTCATATTTTATAGCCCAGAAAATGCGATTTAGGCAATGGAACGGACCGATTAGTGAATTTTAGGTCGTCAGAAAATGATGCTAGCACAGTAATGTATTTTCATTTTACATAACGATTTTTTTCGACTGTCCCATATAGGCAGAGAAGCCGGTAAAACTGCCTATTGATGAATTCATATTCATCATAACAACATAGGTAGGTTGAACATTCAATCGGTTAAATGCTACCATGTATGGCGAGCTAAGCCAACTATTGCTTATATATTAAAAGTTTTAAAAAGATGTCATTCTATATAATCTACTTATATAATTGCCTTATTCTGTCTGTGTGAAGTTCACGATAGATTTTGGTCATCAACGCGCGCATCATCATTATGATCATTATCATTATCTAATGATAATTATTATTATACTTATCTACTTATATAATTGCCTTATTCTGTCTGTGTTAAGTTCACTGTGTGAAGTTCACGGATAGATTTTGGTCATCAACGCGCGCATCATCATTATGATCATTATCATTATCTAATGATAATTATTTATTTATTATATCTACTTATATAATTGCCTTATTCTGTCTGTGTGAAGTTCACTGTGTGAAGTTCACGGATAGATTTTGGTCAGAATGAATAAAATAAAAAAAAGTGTCAAGGGATGGGAATCGAACCCACGACCTTCCGCTTACCGGGCAGATGCCATTACCACTAGGCTACCCTGGACATATTTTTCCGTTCATAAAGTTAATTATTGTATTTGAATTAAAACGTTTCAAAAATATATACGCACTCGGGTAAAACCCGGGCGTTGCCCGGGCCATTCGTCTAGTTTCTATATAAACAAAATCAGTACACAAAATGTCATACAATTTAGTCAAAAATTCTTTTGAATTTTTAATAGCAAGCTTGGGTTATTGTTTTTAAAAAGTTTTTTTAGGTAAAAAGTTATGTACTCTCTCTCAAATACAATTTTTATATTATAAAAAAATATATATATATATATATATATACAATAAATACCAAAAAAAAGGTTTAAAATTTTGTTTGACGCCGATAATAAGAAAGAATTCAAAACTATTATACAGTTAAACCTAATGAGAAAGCAACCCGAACCATGGAAGACCTCCCTGCACCAGAAGCCCCCAAAAATAATTTTACCAACCCCAAATACCCAGTAGGTACCCGTAAATATTCAATTTGGAAACTTCCAGAATGCCCAGAATTGAAAAATGAAGAAGATTCTCAAGCCTTGAAAAAATACTCCAGCGCGGTTGAAACCACTTTTGCCGAGCTAATAAATTTTATTGACTTTTACGAAAGGGAACTGTGCGAACTGCGCTCCAACTACCTAGAACACAATACTACAAAAGCCCCCGCGAAGCGCCCAAGAGAAAAATCACCAGTAGCCGCAAAAGAAACAACAACGCAAAAAACAACCTGGTGCCCCAACCAAAGGTCACAAGGTAATCCTGAACCAAAATTACAATCTAAACAGCCTGAAAAACCTAATAAAGCAAAAACAGTCGAAATGGAAATAGAAGTGACACCAAAAAAAATCCCAAATCACGAACAAACCCATAAAAACTCTAACCCATCAAAGAAACCTAACGAAACATTGAATAACAAACCTAACAATCCCACCCCTAACCCCAAGATCAGAATACCACCAATTAAAATAAGCGGAGTAAAGGAATGGTCAGGCCTTAGAGATGGTCTTGTCAATTGTACAAAACAAAAGCCAGAATTTTACACATCAGGCCGACACATCAACGTTCAGACTCACACAACATCGGACTACCGGATAGCTACCAAGTGGTTGGAAGATCGCCACTACACCTTCCACTTCAAGATCCTAGACGACGAAAAGTGCCTTAGAGTCGTCGTCAGAGGTCTCGACCGCTGCATCACTATCCCCGAAATACAAGAAGATCTGGAAAACAAGGGATTCGAGATGTCTAAACTTGCAAGACTACGAAATTCAAGAACAAAGGAGGAGCTCCCACTAATCCAGGTAACCCTTCCCAAGACTGCAAGGAATAAAGAAATTTACAATATCACAGATCTCTGCGACATGAAGTGCAACGTCGAGGCTTACAGGGCTCCCAAAGGCCCCGGACAATGCCATAGGTGCCAAAACTTTGGGCACTCTCAGTTTGAATGCAGGGAAACTCCCAAATGTGTAAAATGTGGAGAAAATCATTTCACATCCGAATGCGCCAAAGAAAAAGAAGTCCCACCTAAATGTGCAAACTGCCAGGGTCAGCATACAGCAAGTTGGCGTGGTTGCCCACTATACAGAAAAATAAATAGAGTGCCCCAAACCCAAATTAATAAGAAACCAAACCCCAATACAGAAAAAGAAAAATCCAACCCTACAGGTCCAAACCCTTCTGAAATTCCCCAACCCACTCAAAACAAGAATAAAACTCCATATGTCAATAAAGAACGTCCCAATCCTCCTTCAGCCACTAAGGTCAACCAACTAGAGAGCGCTATCAAAAAGGCTCTCAGTGACCCCGCAATAATAGAAAACATCATGAAGAACGTTGTAGACACCTTTAGATGTAAATGAATAACAAAAATATGTATAAAAATAGCCTTCGAATCGTTCACTGGAACGCGTGCAGTCTCCGAAACAAAAAACAACAATTCTCAGAATTCCTGAACGACCACGACATCGACATCGCACTAGTGTCAGAAACCTGGCTTAAGCCGTGCCATAAAATGAGGATTCAAAACTTCATCACCATCCGCAACGACAGACTAACCGGACAAGGTGGTGGAACTGCCATTTTCATCCACAAGAAGTACAGCCATGCACCTATTCATGCCACCACCTCAAGCCTGGAAACAACAGGAATTTCAATCAAAAACAAAAACGGGTTAAATATGAACCTGTATTCGTGCTACAAACCACCAAACACCTATCTAGATCAAACCGATATCTATAACATTTTTTCAACGGACACACCGACCATCATAGCAGGGGACCTAAACTGCAAACATCCTGCCTGGGGTTCCACCACCACTAACCCAAGCGGGAGAAGGCTCCAAAACGCAATCAACGTTATGGACCTAGATGTGAGCTACCCCGACGAACCTACTCATGACTCACCTCCAGACATCATAGATATCGCCGTGCACAAAAACATCTCCCAAAGCGCATACTCTAAAGTCCTGCACGAACTAACCTCTGATCATCTCCCAGTACTACTTGTGCTACAGGATTTCAAAATCTCCTACTCAAATACAAAAATAAAAATTACAGATTGGGCCCTATTCAAGTACAAAATGGAAATCGCTGAACCTCCTGAACTGATCCTAGATACATCTTCAAAAATAGACGAGGCCATTACACACATTGAAGAACAAATGGTGCAAAATTTGAAAGATTCAACAAAATATAAGGACCCGGAACTAGAACGAAGATATCCACCTCACATCAAAGAAAAAATACGATCCACCAACAGACTAAGGAAAAAAATGAAAAATACTTGCGACCCCCGAGATAAATCAGCCTACATGACGGCCCGGAGAGAATCACAGAAACTTACAAGAGAGCACGATAACACCAGCTGGGACCACTTTATCGAAAACTTGAAAGTCACGGACCAAACCATATGGAAAGCCATCAAACGATTATCCAACTCTGAAAAACAAGAAATAACCCTGAAGACAAACAATGGGCAGACACTAACCACAGAAGAAGCAGCTGAATCATTTGCCAACAACTATGAAAAACAGTTCACCCCCAATCCCTATACATCCCACTCCAAACCTACTCGTACATACATCAAACGTGTGAATTCATACATGAAAAAAAATAAAGAAACAGGACTAGAACCAACAAATATTGGTGAAATAAAAGCGATTATTGAATATCTACCAAATAAAAAAGCTCCCGGAATCGACGAATTACCTAATGAAGCTCTCAAACTGCTCCCTAATCATATACTAGCATCAATAACCGAAATATTTAACGCCTCACTGCAGCTTGCCCACTTCCCTGACAGATGGAAAACGTCCATTATCTGTCCCATACTTAAAAAAGGAAAATCCATCCATGAACCAACAAGCTACAGGCCCATCTCACTGCTACCTGCCATCTCAAAACTATTCGAAAGAATTGTTTTAAGAAGACTCAGAAAATCCCTAGAAGAAAAGAATCCACTCAGACCTGAACAATTTGGCTACCAAGCCAAACACTCAACATTGCACCAGCTAGTAGTTGTCACTGAAAAAATAAGAAAAGCCATGGACCTAGGCCAAATAACAGGAGCCGTATTCTTCGATATCGCCAAAGCATTCGATAAAGTCTGGCACGAAGCCCTTCTCTACAAAATGTGCAAAAAGCACCTTCCCGGAGACATCATAAAAATAACGCAAAACTTCTTAACAAATAGAACATTCAAGGTACGAGTCAAAAATGAACTTTCAACAGCTAGGAACATCCTTGCCGGGGTCCCCCAAGGATCAGTCACAGGACCAACCTTATTTGACATATTTATAGACGACTTCCCCTGTATTGAAGACACCTCTTTACACCTATTTGCCGATGATACCGCCATTTTAGCCTCAACATATAACTTCGACAATCTCCACATGAAACTCCAAGAGGCCTGCATCTTTTCCACGCTCTGGTGTAAGGAATGGCGAGTCACAATGAACCCCCAAAAAAGTGAAGCAATCATTTTTTCCAGAAAAAAAGACAAAATTAAGAAACCTTTAGACGAACTTTTTGTCTTCGAAGACAATATTAAATGGAAAGAGAACATCCGATACCTAGGGATGACCCTAGACGAGCACCTAACCTTCAAAAAACACATCGAAAACAGAATTAATTTGGCGAAAGCTGCCCAACACCGACTATCCCTACTTCTAGGACCAAAAAGCAAATTATCCCTTCATTGCAAAAGAACCATTTACACATCAATAATAAGACCAATACTCATATACGGCCACCCAATTTTTATGACAGCACATAAGACCATCCTTAAAAAGCTAGAAGTATTTGAAAATAAAATGATCAGAAAAATCATGTCTCCACCCTGGTTCGTTCGGAACACAATCCTCAGGAACGATCTAAATATCGAAAACATCAATGACTACATTATTAGACAATCATTTAAATTTTACGAAAAATCCGAAAAATTAGAAAATCCCACCTTTAAGGAAGCCACAAACTACAAATGCGGAAAAAGGAAAATAAGAAATTTGAAACCTAGACAAATTCTCCATCAATTAAGCCAGAATGACGAAAAGTGGAAAAAAAGGAAAAACAAACCCACCTTGAACATCAAACAAGCCCGAAAAAACCTTCTCAAGAAAAATATCCCCAAGGACCTGAAAATCCGGACCCAACGACATCATTATAAATTATAATTCGAAATGAACCCCTGTACATAACCACTCCCCTCAATATATTGTAAATATGATGATCTAGGTTGTTCTTTTTGAACGGCACCTAATAAAGTTATTTGGAACTGGAACTAAATACCAAGGGGGTATCGACCACGCACGCGTCCCACGCGAAAAACCCGAACCATGGAAGACCTCCCTGCACCAGAAGCCCCCAAAAATAATTTTACCAACCCCAAATACCCAGTAGGTACCCGTAAATATTCAATTTGGAAACTTCCAGAATGCCCAGAATTGAAAAATGAAGAAGATTCTCAAGCCTTGAAAAAATACTCCAGCGCGGTCGAAACCACCTTTGCCGAGCTA